AAAGAGCTGCCAGTAGTCACTGAATTCTGGGAGGGTTGCAGACTCTGAACATCTTGGGGAAGAGAAATTTTGTGATCCTGCTTCAAATCAAATTCAAATCAAGGTGTGGCTTAGATTATATATTTGTATTGTAAACATTCAGATTTTGAAGGAATTCCCTATTGCAAACATTTGAGAGGATGGGGATATTTTTATGTACTGTGTTGAAGGCAGCGGTTGAAATGTACATTCTTCTACTTCATTAAATATAATTATGCGTGAATATGCTATATTTTATTAAGCTGCTCTGACGTAACAGCTTCTTCACAATTTTCAAATGTCATTAGCTGTATGGAATAAGGGGATTGTTTTGTCTGAGGGACTGCAGACTTCCATAACTGTAGATCAGACATTTTGCTCTGTTTGTAGTGAACTGGTCAAGTTATTTTTACCTCATTAGACTTCATTTTGTATTTATGCAACTTTGAAAATGTTGCATGCTGTTGGCGAAGATAGTTAGTTGTCTGTCTACTTACAAAGTCTGCTTGGAGCCTTATTCTTAATCTGTCTGCACTGAAGTGTTGTGATGCTTAGCAGTTGATGAGTACCTGCTGACTTTCTCAATGCAGAATGATTCTTAAGAAGTGTCTGCCGGTAGCTGTAATTCTAATACTCGAGGACTTCGGCAATGACTGTACATGTATTTTTTAATCATTGCATCCCAGGATAAGGACTGTGTGCATAAAATATGTTCTGGAGGCAACTAGATGACAACTTTGTAACATTTTTATTCGGGGAAGGAGGAAGCATATAATTGTGGAGCGAGAGGAATGAGAATTGTGAGCTCTGAGGAAATTGTGATATTTTAGTGAGAGGACAGTTGAGTTAAAATTGTGAAACTCATGATGGTCATCATGTAATAGGCAGAGCAGTGAAATTGCAGAGACAAAGAATAAAGAAGAAATGAAACTGAAGATTTGGTTCAGTAAATAGTGGGAAATGGAAAGGATTATGCACAGTTGCAGAAGAGATGAGAAAGAAGGAAAACAGCAGAACTACGTGGAGACAAAGTAATTTTCAGATACAAGAAATGGACATGAAGAGATGACAAATGGTAGAAGTGACAGGATAAAAGATAAAGCTGAAGGAGGCAGATATAAACACAGCGATCTGGGCTCACAAATAAGTGTACATGTGAGGAAAAGTGCCCTTACAGATGTGTAACACTGTTATGTCACTTTTAATGTTGTGCAGGATGGCGCTTGAAGGAGAATTCTTAGTATGTGTTACAGCATTGTGACAAGAAAGAGAAAGGAAGCCTATGTTTACATTACTCTTCATTGTGATGATAAAGCTGACTGAAGCAAAGAGAATTGGAACACATTCTGATATACACAGGATTTGAGGAAGATATTAAACAAGGTTTAAAAGGGCCAACTGAGTACCTTTATGGAACGAGAAGGTTCTTCTGTACCGTGTTTGAAACGGCGCTGCACTGGTCCCTGTCCGTAGCCAGATGAATCCACCCCACTCCCTATCTTATTTCAACATTACCTTGCCACCTGTGCCTTCCAGTTGTATTTCATACAAACTTGTGTGCATTTCTCATCTCTTCCATGCATGATTTCACCAGCCTCTTGTTGCTTTTTTGCTTTAGGGCTCAAATAATCACCTCAGTACCTTACCCTGTTCTCAGACACAATGTATGTTGTTCCTTTAAAATGTTGGGAAGGATGTTGTTGAAAAGTGTTGGAAGCAGCAGAATTGACATAAAGTATGATGGAAACTGTACACACGTGGGTGCCAGAAAACTTGCAGGTTGCCTTGATTAAGAGGCAGCAGTATTCAGACAATTAAGTGAATGATTGTGGTTGGGGTGGATATGCAAGACAAATGTTCATTGTTTTATTGGATGGCAATTTTGTGGAAGCTTAGGCTGGTGGGTTTATT